CGATTGCTCACTTGATTAAAGATGTGTCATTAAATGTTCTGATGGCATCATATATGACTATATTAATACTTCCATAAAATATAAGCACCTATGTTTTGGCTAATCAAATAAAAAATGCCATATGTAAATCAGTTATTAAAAATCAAAAATATGAATGCCTACAAATTATAACACAAGTGTGTTGTAGTTTATATGTATCAGTTAACATTGCATTAAATAATTTAAGTGTTATTTTTCAACTATAATTTAAGAATAAATGATATTATATTCATTATAGTGATTTGAAATTGTATTTAAAACTTTTGCTTGTGCAATGCAAATTTGAAGGGTGAGTACTGACCGAAGTACTCCTCTGTAGTGAAAGTTGTTATATCCAATCTAACGAAAAATATTTTGTTTTATGTCACAAACATTAACTAGTACCTGGTAACTAGCACACATATGAATGTATACTGTTGAGAATTTTATAATGTCATAGATGTGTCATATAATTAATATATGACTAAAGGTGATACAGAATATTTCCAAATATAAACATTCAGTATGTGGTATGCTGGAAATATGTTTTTAATAGATCTGACTATGATTCAAACGAAAATAATGACAATTCTATGAAATGCATATTGTCTTTCCATGTAATCCTCTTTTGTTTGATATATTGTTTCACTCAATACTCATGACAAAGAATATGTATCAAATATTGTTATCGTTGCATGTGAAACTGTTTCGATTATCAAAAATAATGAAATTGTTTTTACTATAGTCCTACTAATTGTTAGATGAATCTTTTTATCCAGAATTTTGATATCAATGAAGCGGAATATTTATGCTTTTTATTTTTCCTTACTTTAAAATGTATAATTGTTTTTGTATGTATATAAGAATATTTTCTGCTTAAATATTAAAGGTGCTTTATAATAATTGTTAAGAAATTAACTGTAAAAATATTTTAAATACAACAATTTTCGACTAATTCTAGGTAGTGCACGGTTTTTTAGTAATTTTTGTAAAGTAAATTATGAAAATTTAAATTATTTAAATATAAGTAGAATGTAATTTAACTTTAAATGATTTTATGGAAAGTTTATAGATCTCAAAAATGAATAATAGAAGTTAATAAGTTACACTTTTCCGCGCAAGTAATACATAGTCGGCGATATATGCAAATAATAAGCCGTAATGGTAGGATTGACAAAGTTTATTTTACATTTAAAGAAACGTTAATTTGCGTAACATTATTAAAAATTACGTAAAGTATATCTGATGTATACTAATTGTACAATAGAAATATACAATACAGTCAATTAGAAATATCTCAATAGTAACTGTTCAAACTATTCAAAGTTGCCAAAGATTGCTTCCGAATAATTATTATACAGAGAAATTGAGTTGTTAGACGTGATGTAATGCACTAGTGTAAGGCTACTGAATGACGAAAAATGATGTTTGCATTATTAATAATGATTACCAACGAATATATACTATCTTTATTTATATAGGAGACTGTACATTCTTTACAGTGATACTTGAACGAAATGTGTAACTTTTTAGTTATCAATAAGCTATAAACGCTGTAACCGTAAATATTTTTTGATTTTTATTTATCAAATAAATTTTAATACAGTCAAAATAAAATTCTTTTCTTTTTAAAAATAACAAAATTTCGTGCACTGATTCGTAGTAATGTATGTATGTGTATACACCATAATTTAAAATTATTTTCTTTAAAGTTTGGACTTTGTGAAGTACAATCTTATTCATATTTATTGATAAAATAACGATAACATTGTAATCTTATGTTTTGTAATAATATCTATTAAACACACGTGTCTTATCTTATACTTCATAACATTTATAAGAAAAGACGCTTTTGTTCTTTCATTAACACATACGTTTAATTACCAAAAAGTCATTGCATCTTCTATAATGTTAGATGCACATGTGTTGCATAATTTAATATATTGTGTTCAAAAAGGTAACTTATTTCTGAGTCAATTAATCGCATAACTGTAAAAATACGAATGCATACATACATTGATAATCGCGTGGCACTTTTGATAATAAACCGCTAGATGGTGCTGTAGATAAAATTCCCTCACTTTTTGCTTGACAAGTTCATACACTTTGCTTAGGTGATTCTTATTTTTCTTATTAACTACGTTGCAAAGTTTTGATAAGATTGAGACTTATATGCGAGTTTACCGGTTACAAGGATCACTTGGCGGTTCACGTACAATCAGATCAACATGTTGAAAGCCGCAGCATTACTTGTGCCTATTGCTCTTGGAGTATCTCTGTATTTAAGGTAAGTTTTTTCAGATTACAGTTAACGATGTTGAAAGTGAATAATCATATTTCATTCAGAATTTATTTCAAGTCCTAGAAATCATTTTTTCAATTACTTTTTCATCTTTTTAATATGAGCAGTATCCAATACTGTCTCCACCTTTTACCTCTTTCATAAATGAAATATATTCAAAGTAAATTAAAATATATCCTTAAATACGTAAGGTTCCGTAACGCGCGACAATTAAGTCACAATCAGTTAATAGGATTTTTTGAGATAAAAATGTGCCGGTTCTATTATGTGAAACAACAATAATTTCATAATTTTATGAAAATTTCAAATTTTCAAGGTTTTCTATCTTTATCAAGTTTTTATTGATCGATTTCATTTGGAGAAGTAAGTAGCGTTATGATTACTATATATATGCGTACTAACGAATTCTGACGAACTCTATTTCCGATTGTGCGTCGCGATACCAAAAGATAAATTCAATAGTCTCGCCGCTGAATAGTAACATTTTATTACAAGCGTTTTATAATCATACGGATACATCTAATGAAAGATAGGGGCGAAGGTTAATTGCTCTCACAAAGAGTAAGGAAAACCGATTATGTAATAAAGGACGAAAGAATTACCTTGTAAATGTTTCGGTATACTGTGTTTTCATTAGAGTCCTAGTTCCTTGGCATATATTTATATAATCCATATAAAATTCTAAATTATAGTAGTCATTATTAAAAAGGTGGACAAAGCCGTTTTATCGTTAGTTGACCGCAAAAATTTGCATAATTGAAGAAAAGGAACATTAATACGGAAAAAATCCAATTATGTCTCGTACCGTCTTCTTTTATCTTTTCCTTGTATTTTGTATACTTTGCATACTTACATATTTATTACTCGTATCTTTTAGAATCGTATTAACAGTTTATCAACTAAATAATTAAAAAATAATTTTCGATTAGATAGACTCAAAACTTCAAATGTACCGAATAGTAACAACGGGTTTCAAAATTCCCCCTGCACATAAATTATCCCTATCAAGGTCGCGATCATGATCGTATCTACAATGATAGTCCGTGTATCTATCATTTACCTATCTATTTATTTATCTGTCGATCTAATCATTTGTCTACTATAATATGATAAAATATAATGAAAAGCATGTCATTCTTTGTTGCTTGACATGTTGATTGTAGGTGTATAATCATAGGACAAAGCTATTTCGAACAATTTGTTGTCTGTTCAGTACATGACACAGCATTCGTCCGTAATCCGTACATAACTTCGATCTTGACACTTTGGCAATGACCAAAGTCCACATCAAAACCGGTGATATTAGATCTCCAAATGAATTTTATCGATTTTTTTATCCACTTCATATTAAAGCTCATACAAGACAGTTATTTAAAAAAATAAGCGTTTAGCGATGAACTCGATCGAACAATATCACAAATAATAGATTAGCATTAATTTAATGTAAGTCTCTTAAACAGAAATTTACTACATTTTTCAGTTCTTCGAGTGAACTTAAGGTACCCACTTTACCCGAGACAAATTGGGGTTCGAAGAAAAATGTAAAAGAATCCACCGAAATACGGCCTTTCAAAATTAATGTACCGAATACGGTAGGTATAGAATACAAATGCTGCATTTTAATTCTTTTTTGTATTAAATTTGAAAATTCACCGAATTGTTAACGAAGGTCCTAGAAGACTTGAAGTACCGTCTCGCGCACAGAAGACCGTATGTGGAACCGCTTGAAGAAGCGGCATGGACTTACGGTATATCAACCAAGTATCTCAATACAGTACTCAATTATTGGAAGGATAAATATAATTGGACGGAAAGACAAGCGTTGCTTAATAAATATCCACAATTCATAACGAATATTCAAGGTAAAGAAAATAACGTTCTTTAAACATTCATTTAATGTTATTAAATGGTTGAAATTATGTTCACGTGCATTTCAGGTTTGGATATACACTATTATCACATTCGGCCTACGAATCTTCCAAAAGATAGAAACTTGAAAGTATTGCCTTTAATGATAATACATGGATGGCCTGGATCGATTGTTGAATTTCAGAAAATAATACCTATATTAACGACACCTTCACCCAATCATGATTTCGTATTCGAGCTGATTGCACCGTCGCTTCCTGGATATGGATTTTCGGAAGGAGCCGTTCGTCCAGGAATGGCTACTGCTCAAGTAACCTTTTTATATGTTCATATTTATGAATTCAAAGTTGAAAACCTTATTATCTGTAATACTAAAATGTCTATTTATTTAGATGGCAGTTGTATTCAAGAATTTAATGCAGAGGCTCGGTTTTGACAAATTTTATGTTCAAGGAGGAGATTGGGGATCTCTTATTGCCTCTAATATAGCTGCACTTTTCCCAGAAAAGTTGGTGAAACTTGACATATATATTTTAGAGAAAAGTCATTTCACATACGCGCATATTTTTATTTGAATGTTTGTTTATAGGGTCACTGGTTTACATTCTAATATGTGTTCTTCATTTGGACCATCAGCTTTCTTTTGGTCGGTAGTGGGTACTTATATTCCATCATTAGTTGTAGAGAAAGAACATTATTCTAAATTTTTTCCCATAAGTAACACTATGAAAGTACTTATCGAAGAAAGCGGGTACTTCCATATACAAGCTACAAAACCAGACACGATTGGTAAATTTGTCTTTTTAATAAAACATTGTTTGCTGATTATGTGGTGTGTGCAACTATTTACGGATATATGATGAATTTTTTACATCAGGAGCTGCGCTAACAAACTCTCCGGATGGTTTAGCAGCATACATTTTGGAAAAGATTAGTACATGGACAAGCAAAGCATACAGAAACCGAGATGATGGTGGTATATTAGAGAAATTCACACTTGACGAAATTTTGGATAATATAATGGTATACTGGATCACCAATAGCATTACTACTAGCGCCCGCCTTTACGCTGAAAATTTTAGTACAGCATATAGAACCTTAAAGATTGATCAGTAAGTTTATATTTATATATTACAGATGTATTATGTATTACCAATGTTTTAAATATTGTCCTCTTCTTCAGATTACCCATAAAAGTACCTACAGCGTGTGCTGCTTTCCCAGAAGAATTATTAGTTCAGCCCAAGAGTTTACTTAAAAACAGATTTGCTAATATAATTCAATATAATTTCATGCCACGTGGAGGTCATTTTGCAGCTTTCGAAGAGCCACAACTTTTGGCAGATGACATCTTTAGTTTTGTTAAAAAGGCAGAAAAAATTAAAGAACTGCCGCAACAAGATTTGTAATTGTGATCAATATGTATAAGTGCTACATAGTTATTAATATTTTTTAAAATACTTTAATAAATCGTAATATATGTTTAATATCAAATATACAGCAATATCAATAATATCCATGATGATCACCATTTACAATTTAACAGATGTTTCTTATTTATTTTATACATTTAAATACATAAAAATATCTGGAGTTTATCGTATTTTATAATTACTGTATACACATAGACATGGTGTTAATTTTGTCCATTATGAAAATGTAATGTACAACACGTTAAACACTACCAGTACCAGACTTTTCAACATTCTCTAGCAATGTTTGCAAATTAGTTTCAAACAATTCGCATCTGATTGGCATTTCCAATGAATAAAATGGATTTTTTAAAACATAGTCTCCGTATAATTCGTATACTCTTTTCAATAAAATTTCTATTCCACTTTGTGAAGATTCTGCTACAACAATGAATTTAATACCAGTTAATGTCTGATAACAATGAAGTCTGAATGTATCAGCTTCTAAAATTTCAATTCCAGAACAGCGTGGTTCAGGACTTAGTTGGCTAGCGATTGCAAACAAAGGATAAAACATTGATGCTAAGAAAATTTTTTCATTTGTTGTCATCCTAGCTCGACTAAATTTAAGCGATAAGGGAAAACTATCTGGCTGTTCCAGTAATTCAAATACATCCTTCCCATTTTCTAGTTCTCTTCCTATTACTACATTGCCATTTACTGCTGTCAAAACGTGACCAACTACAATAAATTGATTATTACTTATCTATTATGTTATTATAGCTAAATGTAAAGAAATTATATATCTTTCTTACCATTAATTCCATCTTTTTGACCGAATGATACTACTATCTTCTTATTTTCATAACTCAATTTGATATCTAGCGGATAATTAAAAGTCTTTTCGTTTTCAATTCGTGGAACATTATGATCGTGATTAAAAATTAATCCTCCTGACTTTGACACAATATAGACGCCATATATAACCATGTTTAATTTATATTCCAGTATCTAATCACTGTATAATATAGATACATTAATTGGTCATTCTGAATTTTAACTATTGTTCTCTATTTACACAAACTCTACCAATGTCAACTTTCCTTAGGGTTATGTTGCATTTACATATAGTTCAAAGCGTTCAAACAATGAAACTGTAGCATGGAAAAGTTCTAGTGTCAAATAAACGCGAACGTCACGTACGAATTCATTGAACCTACACTCTGTATGTCATAGTCTCTTATGATGAACAATTTATAATTTTTGTCATGGAACAGAATCCAAAATTTTCTCATAATATTTATAAAAAAGATCCTTTACTTTTTAAAAGTTATGTTGGTAAAGAAGTAAATATTTTAAATGAAGATGAAACCACAACTTCCGGGATCGTTTATACGATTGATCCTGTATCAGAAAGGTTAGTATTCTATATAATATTATGCGGCGTGTGCTCCTATTTCTTAGTATGTATTTTTATATTTGTCAATAACATATAAACTATTTTTAGCGTTGTATTGTTGCAAGGTCATCAACAGAATCATTTAAAAATTGTTTTCGGACATGTTATAAAGAATATAGAGATCTGTTCGGACAAATTATGCAAATTACCGGAATTATTTGAGAATCCACCAACTTGTTTTCTACAATCGACTTTAAATGAACGAAAAAATACAGTTATTAAAATGCTTCAGGAGAACAGATTCCCTGTAAGAGAAGAAAAAGATATCTTAATAATAGAAGATGTACTTTCCATAAGACCGCCATACAAGCCCAACAATTGTACTTCCGCAAACAGTATTGTGTTAGGAAGAATACAGAATTTGCTTTCCTCTATAGAAATTTGATACTTCGAATATACTAGACAGTAGAAAAAATATTGGAGTTCATTTATTTAAAAAAAATGTATTTTAAGATAAGGTTCTATGCTATGCTGATTAATAATTGTAAATAAAAGTTTCCAAAAATAATTCGAATTTCAATGTGTATTATTCATTAGAATGAACATGAATATTAAAGAAATTTGTATTATTATTAAAAAAATAAGTTGATGTAAATGAACACTTGTTATATATTCACATTTTTCATATGTAAGTACTTACGCAAATGTATGTACATCACAATAGATCCTGAAATGGGTCTCAATAAAATGTTATTAAGAAACAAGTAAATTTTCAGTTGTTTAATTACATTATATTAATTTACTAAAAAAATACATAAAGTTACCTTTTTATATGTCTACACGCGCTTTTATATTCAAGTAAAAATTAATTATGGTTTCTTAAAATGTTAATTGATCATGAAAAAATAGGGAAAAAGTAAAGAAATTGTAAAACATTTTTCCTTATAGATAATTATCTCTCAAAATAAAAACTATTCTAAACATGTGTATAAATGTATAAAAGAATGTGCTGGACATTATACTCAGTTTAAGTTTAAATACTTTGTTGTGGCAAATAGGCCCAAAAATTGTATATTCAGTTTAGTATGTATCTGAAAAGGAAGCTTATATGATAAAGTATTCCTATTAAATGGTTCAAGTACTGTAACTATTCACACTACGATATAAGTTCTGCACTGTTGTACTTGACACATTACTGTCTAATACATTTGCCACAGCAAAAGAATTATAGACTCAATGTAACAAGCCGAGTAAGAAATAAATGCAATTGCGGCAGTGTGCCAGCGCAGTAATATATGCCAAAGAGCTTAAGATATCTACACCTGACTTTCTGTTTAATTTAATTCGTTGTATACTTAAGAAATTATATACCTTTACTTTCAAGAAATCCTGGAAAATTATTAATTTGAGTCAAATATCAGTATCATTGTATATATTATACATACTGAGCAAGAATTAGAAGCTGTGTTGGTCTTAGTGTACTGATGTTGATGATGTCAATAGTAATAGTAATAGTAATAGTAATAGTAATAGTAATAGTAATAGTAATAGTAATAGTATTAATCATAATGATGACGATAATGATAACAATAATAATAATAGTAGCAGTAGTAGTAGCAGTAGCAGTAGTAGTAGCAGTAGCAGTAGTAGTAGCAGTAGCAGTAGTAGTAATAGTAGCAGTAGTCGTAATAGTAGTAGCAGTAGTCGTAATTAGTAGTAGCAGTAGTCGTAATTAGTAGTAGCAGTAGTCGTAATAGTAGAGTAGTAGTAGTAGTAGTAGTAATAGTAGTAGTAGTGGTGGTGGTGGTGATGGTGGTAGTAGTAGTAGCAATAGTAATAGTAACAGTAATAACAATAGTATTAGTGTAATAGTAGTAATTAGTAATAGCAATAATAATAATAATAGTAAAGTATGCTAATAGTAACAGCTCTGTTTAACATAATTATCCTAAGATGAAATAAGGATACCTAATCTCTCATTTCTGTGTTTAACAATAATGAAAAGGTATTCTGTTTGGAAATATTTATCAAAGATATTTGAATGTGTTGGACGAATGGATCAATGAAAAAGCATAGAAAAAATGCGTGTAGAGCTCTTTGAAGGCAGTGTTTTTCCGCAGAAGTACGAGGCGCTTCTTTGGAGCAAAGTATATGTCCTAGAGAGTCTATTTTCTAGATGATAGGTCATTCAGTCTCTCCGTCGGAATAATATTCTATCGGCATCAACTCACGAACTTTGCGAGAATATCTTAAACCCAACGAATCTGCAAGACTTTCGATATGTGATAATACCTGAAGAGGGAAAAATAATGATTAAAATATTAATTAGAAGATAACAACGTATTTATCAAAATATTATAAGTCGCTTACATAGTCCAACTGTTGCTTAGTGTGAGCAGCAGAGAGGCAAAACCTGATTCTACCTTCCATTAACGGAGTTGCTGGAAAACCAACACCTACCGCTGCTATGTTATGCGTCGTCAGGGTTCGTACAACTGCACTATTGATGAAAAACAGAAAATTTAAATTTCAGTATAGATTTTCACTTCAACTTACAATTTGTTCTAGGATTGTCTGTTATCGAAACGTCAGTACGTACCCAATTTTCGAAAATAAATAGACTAACATAGGTACAACAGGCGAATCTTCATTTCCATAAATAATAACTCCAATTTGATTTAATCTACGCCTGAAGTATCTGGTATTCCTTGCTAGTTGTTTTGTTCTCTTCTGTCCATCATTTGTGCCGTCTTCGCCAGCGATTATTTTCATGGATGTAATAATTTGTTGCGCTATTGGTGGAGACATGGCCGCTGCATACGTATGAGCGTGACTGTATATCCTTAAATGATTTATTAATGTCTAAAATTATACAATCGCTGCGGTTAATATTATATTTGAGAACTAGAAAAAAAAACCTACAAAAATTATGAAGCAACGAATCTTTATCTACTAGCATTATCTCATACCTTTGTACCAGCAATGTATCCGCCAGCGGATCCAAAACTTTTCGTGAATGTTCCCATGAGTACGTCTACGTTTCGTGGATTAATTCCATAGTAATCGCAAACACCTCTTCCATGTTTGCCCATTGCACCTGTACTATGAGCTTCATCCAAGTAAACGTATGCCTGTAATGTTTGACAATTGTAGTTGAATAGTATAGACCATTTAGACTTACTCCTTCTAGTCGCAATTAATGTCTACTTGCTTTATATTTCTCTTTGAGCTTCAAAATCTCAGGTAAATGTACAATGGAGCCTTCCATGGAATAAACACCTTCGACTACGATTACTATTTTCTTCCAAGGTTTTCCAGTTCGTGGCTGACCAAAAACCACCGCACTTTTCAGACGACTCTCCAAGTGTTTCATGTCTGCAACAGAAATATTTGAAAATTTTGATTTTATCATGTATATTTTTGCTCCAACTGACTTTGAACTTACTATTGTGATCGAATACTTTGATAGTGGCACCAGATAGTCTCAATCCGAGTATTAACGAAGCATGATTCTTCTCATCGCTAAGCACCAAGCAATCTTTACTCAACAACGAAGGTAGATTGAGGGCATTAGTCGCAAATCCCATTCCAAACACAATTGCATCTTCTACACCAAGAAATCTAGCCGTCAATTGTTCTAGTTCGTTGTGAATTGGCATGCTCCCTTAAGAAAAAAGGCAACAAATGAAAAAGAATGGAAGAGTGGAATCGTTGAGCGAACGAAAGCCACCACAGAGGCCATCGTTGAAACAACACGACAAAGAGATTGGATGAAGACGCAAACAACCGATTACCAAGTTCGAGACGAGTACTGCCACTGCCACAACCAAATTCTTTTAGAGCCTCGATACTTTGCTCGGCACACTTCCCTGTTGCCTCGGCAAAACCCAAATAATTGTACGATCCTAAATTTATACATTTCGTACTAGTTCCGGTAAACCTGAAATAAACAAGATGTAAGTTGATTCTTTTTCAAGCAGTCGATGATAAAGCTGGTCGTAGGACGTAAATTTTAAGAATTGTATAACCTTTAACGCGACTAAATTGCAACAAACCTTACTCAAAGAGCAACCCGAACGCACTGAATTTAAACCTCGATTGATATGTTCACATGAAAATTTAGTATTCGATACGTCGGAAATCAACTTTCAAAATTATGGATTGAATCACGTACACTGGTCACAAAACCTTTTCGTTACATTGAATTTCTTATTACATTTAATCTAAATGAATGTTTGCCTTTCTTGTAACTCAAACTGACTCGTTACGATTTTGAAATTTGTGTAGCCTCCTGTTTCCAAAATTACCGAGTGGTCTTGGACAATAAAAATTAACTGGATTTCATTCGTTTCGTTTTGTACCGTTTCGATAAACGGGGCTACAACCAACAAGACGAGATTCGATGTAGGTCGGTGGGGCAAGGCGAGACGAGACGAGACGAAACGAGACAAGACAAGACAAGACAAGACAAGACAAGACAAGACAAGACAAGACGAGATGAGGCTACTGATTTAGGCTAGACTCGGCGAGACAAGGTGATGCGAAGCGAAACTAGACGAAACGAAAGGAAACGAGA